GTTGGCGCGTTACTACGGGTCTAACGACGCTCGGGACCAGCGTACCTTAAGAGGAGGGCGGATGGCGCCGGTTCCGGGGAGACTCGCGCCGAGGTGCGGAGAGTGGCGAAACAAAATAGAATGATTCGAAAAAAAGAACGTTCCGGATGTTTTTATTAACGAGTGATATAACGCTTTTGTTGTTAGTGTATCTAAATAAAAGTGTCAGTTTCGGTAAACCGTATTCCGAATTTATATCCCGAGCCCCGCGGCTGGTAACAAAACTATCTATTATTTATTATATGTAGTAAATAACAAAAAGAATTGAACCAGACTCCAACCAGAGGGGACTTAAGAGAGAAGAAACACTCGATACGGAAAAATGGAAGAAACGTATTAAAGAAGGAAGCTTTGACCCATATAAACACGGGAAAAGATTAAATGTAATAAATACATATTATTATATTTATTTTTCCCCGAGTAAAAGCTTACGACAATTAGACGACGGTCAAAAGATCTTTTAGACTTTTCCTTCGATAAACATAAGATGGCGCTGGGAAGCAAAATGTATCGATAGAAAGAATAATACCGTATAGGTAAAGACCTGGCGGGTACCGCTAAACTTATAGCGCGTTATTTACGCATAAAAATAATTCGAATATATTTAAAAACGGCTTTAATTGGTTACGTTTTCGAGATTGAGAGTGCCGCGGAGACGTCATTAATTAAAGTATATNAAAGGTAAGTGTACAATGTTTGTGCTGCTAAAACTCAAAAACGATTTCCGGTACGATCAAGAGAGTTATATTGTGTGGTAGCACTCTATTCCCATCTATGAACAATGTTTTCCTTTTTACCTAAAGGGCGTGATGTTGAAGATATAAGGGCTAAATGTTTTGCCTTTTAGAAATTTCTAGAACAGTCCAGAACATTCGAGAGTATTCGGGAACGTTCCACAATGTTTCGCGATGTTCTGGAACGTTTAAAAACACCGAAACATTCCAGATCATTGTAAAACATTTCAGAACACTCTCGAATGTTGTGGACTGTTTAGAACATTGTGGACCATTCGAAGCCATTTTGTATTGGTTGGACTACCCATTGGTGGGGTATATAAAAAAAGATCCGTCGTGAGTCGGAACGTCAGTTTTTTATCAGTGACGAAAGAAAAAACCGAAAAAAATTGAAAATTCCAAAGTAGCGCAAAGAGTGAATAATAACAAGGAATGCCATTACACTGCCTTTGACTGAAAATTAGATTTTCAATCATACTACTCAGAAATCTGAACTCATCAAAACTATGTAATGGAACAAGGATGATCGGCAAACAGCNGGTAACAGCTAGTACCGTATAGGTAAAGACCTGGCGGGTACCGCTAAACTTATAGCGCGTTATTTACGCATAAAAATAATTCGAATATATTTAAAAACGGCTTTAATTGGTTACGTTTTCGAGATTGGGAGTGCCGCGGAGACGTCATTAATTAAAGTATATTAAGGTTTAAAGGAATCAAACGGGCCCACCGGCGGTCGGGCGGTCTTCGTCCCCGAACACCGGGAGTTCGGGCCCGGCTCGGACGGGCTGGCCGAGTGGAGTTTTCCGGGGTTTTTCCGCGTCCGCAGTGTTGCCGTTCCTAGTACATTTGTACTTTTCTGATACATTTTGCCCTTTCCAGTAAATTGTAAACAGTCTTGACTCAGTGGTCTTCTTTCACACATCCAGTTATCTGCACATTCTCATCAGGACCTTGACAAAATTTTTCATGCCATGTGGTCCAAACAATTCAACTCCGTCAAACAAAAATAATGAACAGGTAAGGAAATCAATGATTTTAAACTTTTGTCGTCAATAATATTAAAATATCCGTTAAGTCAGTAACAAATTATTACAGAAAATTGTTTTGAGATTTTACGAGTATAAATAATATAAATACTTTTATATTATTTTCTACCACTATAACATAATTCTTAAATTATGAACTTCAATTTTAGTAATCGTAGTAAAAGAAATAA